CAAACTCAATTAAAGTGCAGTAAATTCGAGTGTAATAAGCGACTAAAATATGCAATTATAGCCTATCATCAGCAAGCAAGTCTCGACCTCGAGGTAGGTTAGTAAGAACAATAAAATAATAAGGCAATTCAGATGAAAAGTAAGCAAGAATGTGAGGTAGGTATATTCTCCTGTCAATGATTGATGATGTTACAAATGAATGGGCTCCCCTTTGTATAATAGGGGAGTCTAATAAGTTACATTTCCATTTTTAGTAGAGAATCTTATTGGACAGCTGTCTGACCGCCTAGTACAAATCCATTCCGAAATTTACGCCGTGATCTTAGGGCCACTACGGGAATCTCGCTCTTTCTGTTATAAAACCATAACGGAATTATCTCGAGGTTGGTCATACTTGGCCTCGGGTTCATCAAGCACTTCGATCTTCGAGTCTTGTACTCCGTCATCGGGCTCCATTTTAAACTTATTCTTGAAGCAATCCCTTAAGCATACAAAATCGGGTACACCTGATTTCGACCTTATACATCCTTAAATATTCTTAAGTATTGCTTGAAGCTCCTTCAAATATGTAATGCATGATTTATAATCTTTCCCAACTAATAAATCGGCCTGTACAACTTAAGAAATGATTTTTAGAATGCTCTGAAATTGAGACTACAATTTCAATTTCTTCAATAGGAACTTGTGTAACTTACTTATAACCACATGAAAAATGATTGGCAATAGAATTGGTAGTGGATATATTGTTGACAATTGTTTTAGTGCGTCGGTTCAATAACCATGATTGTGCCAGAGTATTAATTTCTATGCTCCAAAACTCTCTCGATATTCACATTTCTCTGTAACTTTTCAAATATTATCGTGGACACAATCATTTACCTCGTCGAAACTATTTCTTCCACTTCATTATTGAATTAATATAGTAAAATAAATCTAAAAATCACTCCCAGAAAAATCAAGAAATGGCATTGGAAATTATCAAAACTAGAGCAAATGCTTGTGCTGTTCGGAGCATGATAAATAAAGTATTGATCACCTCTTCATCAAGAGTGAGCTTGCTATGGAGGTTTGGAACCATTTTGATCGCCTTTTCAATATAAGATCCTTCCAAACGGATTCCATTCAGTCCCGACGGTTTAACAGATCTCGCAGGAAATCTCAAGTTGGCTACTTAAGTGAGGGTTTTTCTTTTAGTTTGTCCAATTTATTCCGTTTGTTCTATTGTTAAACAAATGGAAGAATTTTGGAGAGTTAATCAAAAAGATTAGACCAAGAATATTGACATAAAAAGCTGGAATTCCAGATGGATTATTTTTGGTTTTCCTCTTCTTGGACGGTAAGCTTAGCTAAACGTTTATCTCATTCTTAATTCTATTAATTTCCAACTGACATTTCGGCTAAGTTCTATTTTGCCTAAATAAGAAGGAATCGTATAAGCAAATTGGGATAAATATGCAATCACTCTCACCCATTCACTTCTTTTATTTGAATTTTGATGGATGGCAGTTGATGTTCGTAGGACAGAGTGCATACACTATAACTGGTTAATTGTGACATGATGCTGAATTTTGATAAAGTGACTTCTCAAAAAAAAAAAAAAGAAATTAAAGAAAATGATTTTAACGTTAGTTAAGGATGAAAAAACAAAAGGTACAACAAGAAACAACATTTTCTTTTTCATTTTTTTGAGAAAAACAGAAGAGGAAATTACAGATGCAGCAAATTAAAAAACAATTGACGGGATGAATAAAAATTGGAACGATTCCTGAAAACTGCTAATTTGTTATAATATTAGGTTGGTCCAAAGGTGACATTAGCTAAGTCGAACGAAATTCTTGAGGAGATAGTCAAAAGTGTAATTTATGCCAAGTGCCGTCCATGCTTCGTGCGTGTGGTCAAATTATAGACCATGTGATATATTCTATAACCGAAGTCTCTCTTTCTTCTTTAATTCTTTTCTCCTTGTTCTATTAAAATAATAATTACAACAACATAATAATTGCACAAGTGGGATCTACGAAGGATAGTATATACGCATACTTTATCCCTATCTTAAGAAGGTAAAGAGGTTGTTTTCCAAAGAAAAGATGAAAAAAAAGAAGAAGCTGTAACGTGCACTTAATATCAACAAGTAGGGGATATACAAATGAAACCGACAAACCGCACCAACCCGCTAATCCGAGTCAAACCGAGAAAACAAACCCGACTATGATTTGGTGTTGGAAGAAAAAACCCGACCATAATTGATTTGGTTTAGTTTTAACTAAAAAAAAGTCAAACCGAAACCAAATCAACCCGTCATTATATGTATAGAAGTTTTAAATATGTTTAATACATAAAAATATTTATTGTAGCGTAGTATAAATATTTCTTAAACTTTTTCATAGTTTTATCTTTTAACGTATTATTTCAAGCTTGGACATATAATTTTTGGATGCTCCAATAAGTTTTGTAGTCCATAAATGGTAGTAACTCAAATAAATCCTAAAGCAAAATCAAATCAATAGTAATGCTAATAAAAGACATTCAATTCAATAGTACTATGAATGAAAATAGTGTTGGATATTTATTTTTTAGTTTTCCCATGGTTTAGATAAAATGCATAACTTATTTTTCTTTAGTGTTTAGTCATGTAAATAATAGTACTTATTAATCGTACTTATTTTACCAACTTAGTAATCTTAAATTATGTTTGTTTTCATTATGGCTTATTAATAATATTTATTTTATGCGATTTTATTATCTTTCTTGTTGAATATTTTAGTCAATGCCATGTCTCATCTCATATTTATGTTATTTTATTGAAAAACACCTTATATAGTTCTATCTTACTAGGATTAATGAAATATTTGGAGCACAAATTCTATGTTTTATGCTATGAAGACTTTATGAAGAAAAAAAATCAGAAAAATCCAAGAAAACCCAAGATTAAAAAACCTGACTTTTATCGGTCTGGTTTGATCTTTAGATTTAATAACCCGGCACAATTGATTTGGTTTGATAATTGAAAAATCCGAATCAACCTGACCTATTTACACCCCTATCAACGGGATAGCAAAATAACCAAAGCAAAGGTAATAGCAAGTGTAAGTCAAATCACGCGTTTATTAATTAAAGTTCGTGGGCCATTTTTTTTTTTTTTCCGGTTTCTGTTCAAAAGCATAGGTGCTTTTGTCACTCGGGGGTTAGTGGTGACCTCAAACAAATTAGTCAAAATATAACTTATGCTCTTGCTCAACTACAGAACAATCAACAATTCTCTGTAGACTTTATGCGCTTAACAATTTGCCTTTTGTTTTCCATGTTCACAGCAATAACATAGAGATACATGTATCATACACGTTTACAATATGTACAATTTATGCCCCCTTTTTGTGTGTTAAGGTAGTGTATCAACAATTTGATGCTTGATGAAAAATAAAGAATTAAAGTACTGGATGCCCTCTGGGGTGCAATTAGGTCAAAGTGACAGCCCTACTTGTCAATCAGCGAAGAAGAAGAAGCAAAAGAAAGGTAGCCATTTTATTATAGGTTCCACCACTTGCGCTTCTCCATGGCCTTGACGAGCTCAGCTGCAAGATCCGCAAAGTTTTCGGCCCCACTTTGTAGCTCCTGAGCCTCTGGTAAAGATAGTAACAGAAAACAGGAAAGTATGTGGGAGGTGTATCAGAATTTCAATCTCAGAACTGAGTAAAATTGGGATCTAAAAATTTACTAGAAAAAGACTGTCACACCTCCTTTTTACACACCTACCCTGAAGGATAATGTATAAGGGAGTTTTTCCATTTAAAGTGACATTATTCGAAATGAGATTATTTATTTGTTTTTAGAGTCGCCACTTGGGATAGGATCGGCTTTTGGTGTCCCAAGTCACCGGTTTGACTTGAATCCCAAATCGAGGAAAATTTCGACTTCCCAATTGGAGTCTGCGAACCAGAAATTCTGAATAAGGAATTCTGTTGACCCGAGGGAAGGTGTTAGGCACCCCCGGATCCCGTGGTTCTAACACGGTCGCTTAAATTATTATGATTGGCTAAAAATCTAATTTTTACATGTCCCAACCTATAGTGCAATTTTAAGATTATTTACTGCTTTTAATTGATTTTTAGGAAAGTGAACGCCGTTTAAGAACGTATTTTTGGATCACGTCACATGAAATGCATCCGGATCCTCGACATATTCTTATTCAACGTTTTGGGATTTGAATTTGGGTTGCAGGAAATGCACGCCCGAATTTAAGAAGGTAATATTATTAAAACGCGCCTAAAGCGACTAACGGGTTATTATCTTCGTGGGAGGCCGTGAAATTCGCTAAACGACACGCCCCAAATTCTAAGTATTTTTATATAGACGTTTAATGAGGGCCCCGCAGTTTATGAGTTTTGTTTGGCGAGGCTCATCTCATTTTTATTTAAAGGCCAACCTGAAGCGACTACGATTTTTCTATTTATTATTTGTCTCTAAAAGGGTCTAATTAATTTACATTTATAAATTCGAGCCTCGAATTCAAGTCCGAATTCAAACAAAAGGGAGGACCCTCTTAATTTGAACCCGCCACCTAACTCGAAACCCAAATTTATATTTGCAAATTAATCCTCTATTCCTAACATAATTTTAAAAGAGTTTTTTTTTTTTGACTTCTAGCGATTTTTTGGGCCTTGAGAAGTTGGCCCAGGTCTATGGCAATAGCAGTCTGCGAAGGGAGCTTGCATTGGGCTTCTGGAAATTGGCCCAAGGCCTAGTTATATATGGAATTGATTTATATAGGCCAATTTTCAGCATTTGCCATGTTTGGGCCTCTTAATAGCCCAATTCAACTTAAACTCAACTTAAAGAAAATTTCAAACCTTATAAATTTTAACAAAGAAAATTTTTATGCAGAAATTGTGACTACTTTCTGAAAATAATTGAATATGCTGAACATGCTGAAATTTAATGTTAAAATCAGAACTAGTTTAATGTTGATCCTGCTAAAATTGAACATGTCAAAGCCAATACTATTGAATAAGCAATATGGAACTCGAATTATGACTTATTCCAGTTCGAGTCCAGTCCCATTTATATATATATCCAGTCCGTATATCCAATTCCAGCACTCCTATATATCCATCCCTATTTAATTGCAACAGTAGATGAGATGCATTATAAAAAATGGAACATGGTAAACTACTTGGACGCCCTCAATTATTAACTCCACACGAATACCTGACCTTAATTTCTGCACTTATGCTAATGTTTAACAATAACAATTAATACGAACAGCAGTCCAAATTATACACAAACAGTCCTATATAACAGTCTATGATTATAAAGTAACTAAGTCTATATCAGCTCCTATCTATTTAGCTAATGCTACATAGCATCCCAAAAACAGACTTTGGAGCAGATGAAGGAGCATTTTATTCCATTTTTCAATCCAAGCTACAACACATCAAAACTCGAATATGTACCTGGAAATTGGGGCAAAACAAAGGTCAACGGATTGTCAGCAAGGTCGCAGCAGTTCAGCGGTAGAAATCAGAGGCTCGGAGTGATGTTATAATGCTAGAAATGATGTCAAATGGCACAGGATCCTTTGCAGTTAATGAACCAAGCAAAATAGCTTAAATGCACCCAAATCAACTTGAGATTGAACCCAGGAATGCTTAGATGATTTCAGCAACCAAACAATGAACTAGAAGATGTAAGTCAACAAACTAAAATAGAAATTAAACTAAGGTTTTCAATGTAACAGTTTTTTTTTTTTTTTTTGAATTTTTTTGAAGTTTTTGTTGTTTTTTGGGCAGAAATTAAGATCTAAAGTGAAGATTTCTACAGCTATATGATTTCAGATTTGAACCTTTTAAGTGTTGAAGTTCAAATTTGAATTTCCGACTTGAGGAAGGGGATTTTTAAGGGGAAGTTAAAGCTGGCAGGGATTTGGGAATTTTCAGACTTCTAAAACTTGTAAAAGAAGGCATTAGAGGTGCCTTTTATAGGCAAGGAGTGGGACAGAATGTTCTGGAAGCATTTTCCTATTTTTCCCTTTTTATTTCAGAAATTGGCTATTAGACCCTGATTTTATGCCTTGTTACCCAAGTTAGTGCATTAAAATGCAGAAAACTTACACTTAGGCCCCCTTCTAGAAGGCCCTACGATATTCTTTTAGCTATGAAAAACCTAAACTACCCTTGCTTAAGTTCTAAAATTACTATGTCTTAATAAACCAGCCCTTTCCCATGCCCAAATTACCCTTGACCACCCCTTAGAATTACTAACCCAAACAACCCCTTCATTTTAGTTAAAGTTTAACTATGATTAATCCTAGTGAATCTAAATCGGCTGCAACCAACCAACAAAACTAAAACTTAACAATCAGAAAACAAAACTAAATAACAATTACTTAATCAGACTATTAAACCTAAGGATTGAAACGAGCAGATTATTACCTGGAAAAGAGCAGACATGTTGAAATTGAATCAAAACTAACGAAAAATCCTATTGAACTAACAAGTAATCTCTTGAACTAATTAACCCGATATTTGAACATTAAAACTAACAGAAATAAAACACAAATCAGATCAGAATTAACTAAAATCAGAAATGACACAGAAAACAAGCTAACTAACAACAAAAGCACGAATTAACTAATGAAAACAAAAAGAAAAGAAAAGAATAATAGAAGTGAGAAGAGACACTTACAGATTTTTGGACTCTACAAGAAATTCCCTTCGAAATTGGTTTTCAGTTAATATTATATGTCTATTCTGTCGAGAATAGGCCTATAATATTAACTAGAAATCAATCGCCTTTTGAAAATTTCCAAAACAAACTCGAAACCCAGGAACCCTAGATTTAAAATCCGCCCAGTTTCGCTTAGATTCGAGTGATTTTGGTTAGGGATTAGGGATGAGGAGGGTTAGGGGAGTGTAGGGTATGAATTTGGGGCCGTTTGGACAAGGTAAGGTTTTGGCCGGAAAATTTAGATTCAATATTTGAGCTTTTTGGCTATGATTCGAAGAAAACCAATACCGAATATGGAAAGAGGAAGACGAGGAGAGATTGAGGTGTAATTTTGGGCGGAAAAGGACGCCGGCCGCCGGTGGCGGCGATTTCCGACCGGCGGCGTTAGGGCGGAGGGCGGCAGAGACGTGAGGGAGTCAATGGCGGCTAGGGTTTCTCTAGGGTTTGGGGGGTGAGAGACGGGAGGTTAAAGGGGGTAGGGGACACGTTTGGACACTTTTATACTTAGACACCCTAGCTTTAGGACCGTCCGATCAAGAAACCTCGACGGTCCTGATCTAATCCCACGAAACGACGTCGTTTGAGGATTTAAGGTGCTGGACCGGGTGTAATCATTTGGGCCTGAATTCGACCGGATTTGGGGAGGGGTTTTGGTCCAATTTGGGCTGCTATTTAGCACTGGCCCAATATCAGGCCAGCCTGATTTGTATCTCTTTTCTTTTAATTCTTTTCATTTATCTTTTATTTACTTATTGTTTCAACTTTAAAAACCAAACAAAATTAAACCTAAAAATTAATTCAACCTACCTAATTAAACTACAATTAAACTAATATCACTTTAAGGAAATTAATAAACCTAAAACTAAAATTAAAATCAATCAAAACAAATTAAAGTTTCTTTATGATTTTTATATTTTGTACAAGCCTAATTACTAATTAGTCTAAAAAAAATATAAAATTAAATCCTAAATGCAAATGTGCTATTTTTGTATTTTTTTATGAATTATAGCAACTAAAAATGCACACAAAATGTAAACAAGACACAAAATCATGCAATTAATTCCTAAAAATTCAAATAATAAAAGAAAATTCTAATTCTAATGAATTTATAGGAGCAATTTAAGCGTGGCAAAAATCACGTGCTCACAAAGACCGAAGAAAGTTAAACGTTAAAGGCACCTATGTAAAAAAGGGTTCTAACTTGAAAATTCATTTTCTGAATCTTTTTTAGTGTTTGACTAAGCATATAAAAAAAAGGGCAGCCGATGCACAAAGCATCCCACATTTATACAGAGTCCGGGGAAGGGCCACACCCCTAGGGGTGATAGCTTACCCTAATGCAAGTATTAATACCTACTTCTGCATCTCGAACCCGTGACCTATAAGTCACATGGAGCCAACTTTACCATTACCCGTGATTAAGCATAAAAGTAAGTAAAAACGGTAACTAACAAGATGTACCGCAGGATACGACAATAGTGTTCTGATAGTAATTTTGAGCATTAAAGTTGATAAAAATGTCTAAGTGTTGATTGAAGCAAGTGATATGGAAAAAGAGTCAGATGTTTGTAGAGGGATAGTTAACGGACGTCATTTTCCCCTTTTGTTGTAAAATATCTTCCTTGGAGAAACATTTTCTAAAACTCAAGGTAACCCAACACTATGATTTCATCAAAGGAAGTTCTTATCGACATTGTAATGTGAACAAAATATTGAAACTATGCTGAGACAGAAAGGCACTGGTGTTATTGTTTTCAGAGTAGTGTACAGTCGCTAAATTCAAAGCCACTATATGATCCAAGAAAAAGCATGGTCTTTCTTCGAGCTTAAGATGAAACAAATTATGCAGGAGATAAATGGTGTAGTTGAATCAATTCATTTCCATCAAATAATGAGAATAATTTCATGTGGCAAGGGGGGAGTCTTTCATGAGGTTCAGTCAACCCACTGAAGCTTCTAGCCAACCATCCAAATAAAATTAAGAGGAAGATTGTTGTGATCTAACAATGCCACAAACTAATATAGGTGTCTAGGCTCATGATTTTGACATGCGACAAGTTAGCATCTCTTAAACGACTTCTTTCAATGTCATTTCGTGGAAATAACCACCACTTTACTTCAAAATAGAAAATTAAGTAAATGAAAAGATAAATTACAAAAGAAATTTGTGCAATTTACAAGAAGAAGAACATTACAAAATATGCATATGAATATTGCAGGATAAAGGTTAAAACATGCTTTAAATAGACATACCTCGAGCTTCTCCTGGCGCTCAAGAAGCTTATCCTTTGCCTCCGCTGCAGCAGAGGCAGCATCCTACAAGTAATGAGCAAGTCAGTAAATGCAAATGCCCACACACAGTTACTCATTGTGAGATGTATTTGTAGGATAATATTACCCCCTTGTTTCTATATTTAGCAATCATTTCTTCACGAGTCCTTTGCCGTGGCTTGGCATCACTAGTACCACCTTCCAATAACATATCTCTATCGGTCTCCTTTTCTGGATAAGTGGAGTAAAACAACAGATTCATTAAGGGTATACGAAGGAAAAAGATTCTATTTACCGTGTAGCAATAGGAAATACCTATTCTGACATCATCACTGCTGAGAGATGATGAAGTAACATGAACAGGTTCATCAATTTCAATATCATCTGTAAGTAACGAACACAGACAGTTAAGGATCAATCTGTACTAGTGGACCATAACCTTTTTCAAGAAGGCGCATAGTAGGGCTAGGAAAACTACCTAACTTCAGTTCCAGGCTTCCAAGGTCATCCATTACATTTGTAGGGTCTGAGAATGGAAATCTAGAGAATATGTTTTCCAGATGAGTAACAAGAGAATCTCGAGCGTTACTGTGATCAGCAGCCTGCTGTCCTTTAAATCCTTTCAACCCCTTCATGATGCCACCAAAAATACCGGCGGTAGCATTATAGAAAAAGCAGAAAACTATCTTCCATAAGAGGTCTAGCAAAATACAAAGAATAGAAGCCTGACATCACACTGTAAGAACCTGTTTCTTCTTTTGATGTTGGAATGTACCGACAGCATCATCTGCAGCAGCTGCGAGAGATTTATTATGCAGCGAGGGTAAAGCTTCCGGAATCCTATAAATAGGTCATTGTTATCCCTCATATCATAAACAGAAAGCTCATAAATGTGTGTCTCTTTTGATCTTCCCCTGGCAGCAGGGCTGAATGTTTTAGGATTGCGGGATTACATGCAAGATGGAATGTAAATGAGTGACAGACCTGAAATCATTTCCGAAGGCCAACAGTGATAAAATAGCAAATTCAGACCCATTCACCTACAAATTGAAAGAACAATTAGCAAAATATTAGTGTTTGAAAAGAAAACACAATCAAGAGTGAAGTCAATAATGAGCCCTTAGCAGCCTATGGATAACCCCTTAGATTGTACCTAGTTATCGTGCCTCATTCTTCCAAGATCTTTTCTTAATTGCTCGACACATTAAAACATTGTAATACACTGTTAACCAGTCACAATTTTCTGGAAAGTATTTACAACCATCACAAACTGAGTAGAAGCATTATGGTGAGAGTCAGAAGTAGTCCTGTCCTAACTATAATCTGGAACGTTGGCACAGGAAGCAATCATAAGCAGTTCTATTGGTTTCATCGTAATATAGAGTCGCAGTATACTAAGGAAATGTTATAGACATTGAAATGGGTCCTAATGTAAATAGCAAGCAGTATCATGAATACAAACAAGTAGTCTATCTTTAAAGTGGAAGGGAGAAAAAGAGTGAAGACAATACCAACCAGTGAAATCATCCCTTTACCAGGAGAACTTATGGTCTTGTCCATGTTTATCTTGGAATTCCATCTAAATATAGACATTAATGAGGATTCTCCCAAGACATTAAGATCCGGCAAGGATCTGGCAAGAGTTGATGCAGATTAATCATATGTTTTCCACACACATACATCAAAATACTCGAACAATGACAAATGAATCTCAAAATAATCGGTAATCTCAGGATAAAATAAAATCATCAACAAAAAGCATACAGTCAGGAAACGTCTGTAAGCCAGTGATGTTCATCCTACTGCTCAAGCATGCATGAGAAGAGTACAAAAAGAGAGACGCAAATAAATCTTTTTACCTTATTTCAACTGCTCCACTCTGATATACTAAAACCAGTCCATATTTTTCAGCATCATTCTTAAGAATGGAAGTCCAAGAACACGGTTTAGCAGGTTTAACTTCACGAATAGGGTTGACACCACCCTATAATTACATAATCTTATTACAAACTAGTGAATTTAGGAAATTAACAGGAAACACTGCAGAAGCGAATGGTAAAAGAAAGGCACCTGAATTATAGAACTTAAAGAGAACAAATGCAAGCCATCCTGACAACAAAGTAAAATTTGTGAATCCATACATTTCTGTCTTAAATCTTCAGGCTGCACAGCACTGTCTAGAATTGAAGAATGCTTTTGCAACTCTTCGGAGACAGAGGTGATGTCATCTACATACAACAAAAAATCTTTTAAGAAGCTAATAACTTTTTCTTCATTGATAAGAATTTAAATAAGAACCTAGTTACAATTTCCTCTTCATAAGAGTTTTCATAGAGATTAATTGATTAAAAATGAAAAGTCATGCTTGCCTAAAATATACAGAGATATAGCAGTTGACATTTCCTTTGTGTGTTTTGCTTGAGAGCTAATTTTATTGCCAGTGGAGCCATCGAGCAAAACCACTTCTGCATCTCTGGTTAATACTGAAATAACCTCTTTCTGATGTGCATTTGTTGTTCCCTCTTCACAGTGGTCCTCAGTGTCTTCACGAGCATCAGCTAATATTTCACAGCCACAGAAGTGATTCCGGAACTTGAGCTGGATAAACAACCCGTAACGAACAAGGCTGATGATGAACTAATATCAAGCATGGCAACCTGACAGGAAAACACAAACATGAACATCTGATAGATTTCCAAAGTATCTGCCATTACAATTAGTAATGATCAAAGGAATACTGCTTGGATTGATACCTGGCCGCTTTCAAATCCTGCGACAAGTCTGGAACCCACAGCTACAAATTTTAGGATGCTTACTGGAGATTTTACGAGGGAAAACTGAAAGCCAGTATCACCTTGACAGTACTGAACTGAAAATGAACTAGATACGGATCACCATAATGATGCAGAACGAGATGGTTGTCTATAAGAGTGAAAATGTGTAATGACATGAACTTGATAAAAAGAGAAATTTGTTTCATCACTCATGGACTCACGAATCCCTTCCGCTAAGAATGTAAAATAAAAAGGAAATACTACTTGTCATGGCCCAGGCCTAACTACCAAGGTACTGCTCACTCTGCCCAACCTTTGGGGCCTCAAAGTTTTGTCCCCTTAGGCTTTACCCAAAGGCACCTCAACAGTTAAATTCCAGAACCCACTTATATGGTCCCTAACATTCACCTCCATTCCGATGCGGGATTTTCCTAAGCTAAGCTTCACGGCGAACCCCTTTCAAGTTCAACCGCCAATGGTTCGTGGGCTATTATAATTGAGTTTAATCAGGAAAAAAAACAAGTTTCTCTACTCATGCCACTCCTCTCTGATCAATTGTGTACCACATTTGAGTCTAACTACTCCTATATAAGAGCTTCTTTGTATTGACTAATTTTTAGAAAACAACTTTCTCTTCTCATGCCTGTCCTCCCGATCTATTGTCAATACCACCTAGCAGAATTAGAACTTAAAACAGAAAAGTGATGATTGTTCTCCTGGAGGCTCCTAATAAATGATGAATTTCAGACTTCCCACCCATGTCAGACCAGTATCTATCTACGGTTTAGAAGATTACTTCAAAATAACATAAGTTACAGAAGAGTTTAAGAACATAAAGGCATACCATCCTGTTCAGTATCTGGAACCAAGTTCAAGCTAGTTGTCTTAGACTGCCCCATGAGGCTATAAACACGAACCTACACAAAAGAAAAGTATCAGTAAGTTATGCACAGATGGTGTTACCAGTTTTTTAAAAGATGCAGCCATCTGAAAACATGATAGATGTTACCTGGCCACATTGGTGGCCAATGGCAAGAGTTAAAGCAGTGGAGGAGCAATCCAAAGCAGATATTGCTGTTCTAGGACCAGTGTCTTGAATGCCATCCGCCTGGCCATCACACTTTGACATGTTATCTCTCGGTAAATATCGACATGCCAATGAAACTAGAGACTATTTCTATGATTATATAGGTGAATATGAGAACACATCAAGGCAGTTGCTTATCAGTTAAGAGTCGAATAAATACAAAATGCAAGGACCTGAGTTTCCAGAATAGCTATAAGTGAAAAGACTGGAAATGTTGCATTCCACAAACGGACAGATCCATCCAGATAGCCAGCAACAAGTATTCTCTCTATTCCATCATCCTCAGTAAGAGGAAGTTGTCCGGCAATACTACCACTTAGAGGCATTTTAATTTCCTGTTCAGTCACACCATGAGCTGGATGGAGTTGTGCATTCATAACTTCCTAAAGAAACAAGTAATATTAGTTGAAGAAGATTATTAAAAGACATGATAACGGATTTGCATTGAATGATCTAAATTAGAAAGCATCCAGTACCTCTGAAGTAGTCCTTGAGGAATTCCATTTCCTATCCACTGGATATAGGTTTGCCACAGTTATACGTGGTTTAAGGGTAGGTACAACTGTAGGACACTTAACAGCAAAATCTGCATGCTTCTTCTTTGGGTTAGATTTTAAAGCAGACAAGCTTGTCTTGTCATAAAAGTGCAATTGCCCTGGATTTGTCAACACAAACAAGGAAGAAGCATCATAAATTCCTGTTCCATTAGCATTTGAAACTACAATGGCATCTGCAAAAGATCCATCAAGTCCAAGGTCTACTCTTTCAACACATTTCAGTGCCGCTATCCCAGAGGACCAATCAAGATTCAAGACCTTGCCTAACACAAAGAAAAAGATTGGCATAAATGTAGGCACACATCAAATTAGATACCACAAAAGATCATATATCTCATGTTTTTTTGTTTGAGAAGGTAAGTAATTTTATTAATGTTGAGAAAATCCATGTATACAAGCAGTATACCAAAAGTAGAAAACCTAGGCTAAAATATGGTTCTACAAGAATGCGGGAAAGCTTAAAATTCCATATGATTCAATTTTTTAGCAATGGAAACTATTGGAAAGACCTTTCTTTATTTTCAGACCAAGAACAGGGAAGAGTGAATTCAGAAAAAGAACTAAATTTGTAAAATTTGTATTTAATGCAATTGATCCTAATGGGACAACATCTGGAAAAAAATCGATTGGAATAAAAGAAATCAGTAAAAAAATACCTCGCTGGTCACATAAATTAATCACCGAATTGGAACAACAATCGGGCGACTATCAAGAGGGCGTACCACTGGATCATCAAATTCGTTCAAGAAAAGCCAAACGTGTAGCCCGCATTCTTGTAATGTTGTACTTTTTAACCAATTTAACATGCTAACTTTCCAAAATTAACAATTAATTAGAGCCTACAAGTTTGTAGAAAGTACAAATTCATTTATAATTTAAACCATGCCATGATGCTCCCTCCCTCCCTCCCTCCCTCTATTGCAAGCATTTTTTTTTTTTGGGTGAATAAAGAATTTATGACCAATAGCAATCTGTACAGAAGAAAAAAAAAGTACTGCATCTGGACAGCCCCATTGCAGTAACAGTCAACTAACTACACCCAAACTAACACTCAACTAAGCTATGCTACTGCAAGCATAGAATTTTTTTTTTTTTTTTTGATAACTGTGGTATCTGGGCCAGCTTGCACGCGCCTCGACTAATTCTACGGGATACCTGCCACCTCCCACCTCCCACTAGCAACATGTACCAGGTAACTCTATCCACCAAGGCTTGGATAGATGAGAAGAAATCACCTAGTGTTTTTTGCATCCGCTAGGATTTGAACCTTAGACCTCATGGTTCTCACCCACTTGATTGACCACTAGGCCACACCCTTGGTGTTGCAAGCATAGCAATATGACTAAGCTTAATTCTAACTTGTTGATATTGCCAATATAGATCTTCTACTTCCACGTGGACTCTTTTCAATAAATTTGCATTGATTCTAAGACTAAGAGATTGTAGGTCCTTAAACGACAACTTTCTTCCATGTGATTTTAGGTATATCTCATCACCTTTTAACACCTTCAATCATCATTGCGACACACTAATGGACCAACACATTTGGACTTCTATTTTACATTTAGTTTTACTAATTATCATATTATACTAAAAGTAGGAAGCTCCTACCTTCAAAGTTAAAGTACGATAATATCCTTTATAATCTGAGTTACTATTTTATCCTTGAAAAAAAACCTTCAATAAATAATATCTTGATTATATTAGTAGAAGTTAGCCGGTTGATGATGTAGTACTTTAATGCTTCATTAAATAAATTCAATGAATCCAATTAGGCTTAAAGGTTGAAGCCATTCGTATTTTCCTTCAATTATTACTCCCAAAACGACTCTCATCATAATTATCAAGGAAAATGTTTCTCTCTTTTCCGTTTTTCTTGAGCTCTTAATTCACATGAACTTTAACAATAAAGGTTTGGATTGTTAGGGTGAAATCAGAAGGGAGAAACGCCAACAGACAATGCCTGTTCCTCCGCCTACAAATGCCTGTTTGTAGAGCCCTGAAGAGTCGTCACCGTTTTATTTTCTTGTCTTTAAAACCCAATATCTCCGATGGCCATTCTCCCTCACTTTGCCATCTTCTCTATTAACGCAGGTTTGCCCTCTTATCCTTCCCTCATCTAACTCTTATCTTCTTTCCATACTTATTTTTTTTCACAGTTTTTATCACTTGTATTTTTTTCCGGTGCTATTACTATTTCCTCCACCTATTTCCTCCATTGTCAGCGATATCCATCTCTGCTAAAATCGACATGTAAGTTCGCTTCTATTTACACATCGGAAAACTTCATATATGTACAGACTTCTCATGTTGCTTTGTCTACTAATTTTCTGATATGCGCACAATTTCTGATACATAACTTCCAAGTCGAAGGCTGAAAGTTTGCATGGATTCTTAATAGATTTATAAAAAAATTCCCAGAAAGACATAGAGTATTTGAAGACCAAGAATACTACTTGAGATATTACTAACGACCATTAAAACGTAGAAGAAAGGACTAAATAAAATTTGATTCTTGTTTTCTTATGTATCAACTTAAGTGTCCCCTTAATCCATTACCAAACACAAAGCAAATTAGTCTAAAATCCTGAAGAAAAAAATAGAAACAAACAAACACGCACAAATAAGCACGTAAGAACATACAATAAGCATATATACAAAAGAATTTCAATTTCCATTACAACATCACAATTTTAATCATAAGAAGTATTTAAATTTTAAACCATGTGAGTAAGAACTTCCAAGAATCATGTTTTATAACATTATTTCAGATACTTATAGCATCTACTCTTAGCATAAAATAATCCTATTACGCATGGCATTGATATGTTGAAGAATGAACTACTTTTTTTTATTCGTTATCAAGAAAATAGGCATGTTTTTTATGAATTATTTGGTGTATATTCTTAAAGTTTTGCGGCTATTATGATAGAATAGTTTTTTCACTTTGCTCATGTTGTAGTCTATGCGCCTTTATTCTATTTAAAATTTTGAGTCTAATTGCAGCTAAAGAGTTCTATTTTACTTTTATAACTGTGCTATTATCTGCTTCTTGCTCTTGCAGACAAGATCCTATATATATTGAGAAAAATGAAATCACACATATATTTACCAACATCTATGTAAGTCGTCATTCTACTGCATACTTTTATTTTATTGCATTCATGAAATTACATATTGGCAATATTACTTCCTACAAATTGTGGTAATATATTTTTACTACATCTCTATCTTTTCAGGAAACTAGAGGGACAAAGCAACAATTTGATGAATTTATCAGTTATTTTCAATCTCCTCTTTATTTAAGTCATATCTTAATTTGTTTCCGCATCTTATAAATGTTTCATTATTAAATTTAAGTTCCATTTATCTAAGTTCTATTTAGTAAATTGGAAAGAGAAAGAAGAGCTCATTGTTGTGATAATGTTAATGTGAAAAAAGGGCCATGGTCATCCGAGGAAGATATCAAGCTCTAAGATCTTATTAACATAAGACATCGAGTAATTTTGAATAGTACATGGGTACATTTGGACCCTTTTTCTTAATTTTATCTTGATTACCTAATTTTTATTTTAGTAGATAAAAAAGGATGCATTATGCAATTCAACCTTTCATAATCACCAGTCATATTTGAACTCTTAACACTTAACAATGTATAAATATTACTTATTAGTGTATATGATGAAGCTGAACATTTTGTGCATGGGCATGTACATTAAAATAGAAAAGCGAGGCTAGAATATTTCAGAAAAGAGCAATCAACCTTGAGAAGACAATCATACTAAGGCGCAATTGATATTGTTATGGTCGAAGATAAAAAAAAAGGTTTATCAAAGAGTGTTGCTTGTTGCATCGTCTACTAGAGCATTCAAATTTCAAAATGAGATATACCGAAGTTTACTTATCTATCAAAATATAATAACAAGGTAGACAACATATTCTGGGGTTTAACTCCAACAGGTCATTTCACAACTAAATCTATGTATAGTATATTAGAAGCACAACTTGATGAATCAACTAACAGTTCTACAAAATACAACTGGATATGGAAACTTCTTGTACAACCCAAAATCAAAAGGTTCATTTGGCTTCTTCATAAAAAACGACTACCTACCAAAGAATACCTTAGACATATCAATTTAATTCAAGATGCTACTTGTCAATTCTGCCATCAAGAGGACGAAACTATTAGGCACTTATTCCTTGACTGCACAAACGCAAAAATATTTTGGCAGGAATTGGGTATGCTTCATTTTATTAATCAAATTTTGATCTGATTGCTGTGCCAGGCCAACCCATGGGTCTTCCCAAAACTTAATATGAGTTCCATTTTATGCCTAGAAGTATTAAGATATTTGTTCAGAAGGATGTTAGCCCACATGGTTTGTGGTGTCTTAAAAATCCTCCAAGCTAGACTTGCTAATAAAGCATGGTTCTTTAGACGCAATTTTTGAATTCCTAAGCCTCATGCTTGCTTTGGTCTGGTAATTTCATTCCATCTAACAAGGTGTAGTTTCATTTTTTCTGAAGTTGTACCCTATAAGAAATTACGTTGATATTGATCCATTTTATTAACTATGTGAGCCGGAATGTGAATGATATGATTAGGTAACTGGTTTAGAGTAGATTTTATTAAAGTGGCTCTTCCTGCCAATGTCAGAAACCTAGATTTCCATCCTGCTAGTTTATTTTTGAAATTATCAAGGAGGAACTGGAAATCTGCATTTTTGGGTCTTGTTTGGAACATAGGAAATCTCAAGTATTTACCAAAAGAGGTTCCTTCTTTAATGTTGAAGGAAGTAATAACAAAATCTTAATCATAGGAGCTACAATTTTTAGAGAAGAAGAGTTTTGATTTTCAAAATTTATTTTTTGCCCGGAATCTTTGGAAAAATTATTCAAAACATCAATGATTGCATGACAGCTTTTAGCAGTAATCTTAGAGAAAAGTATAATATCATCTGCGAAGAAAGGTGAGAGAGAAGTGGACCTTTGTTAGACAGTCGAATAGGTTGCCATTTTAAATAGTCAACTGATAGGGAGATGTTTCGTGAAAATAATTCCATGCACATAATAAACAAGTAGGGTGAAAGTGGATCTCCTTGACGAATACCTCTTGTAGGTGTAAAGTACTGAGTTTTTGAACCATTAATTAATATAGAAATTGAAGTTGTTGTAACACAAGACATGATTAAGGAAATCATAGAGGGAGGTATGTTAAAGTAAAACAAAGCACGTCTTATAAAAGACCATTCTAACATGTCAAATGCTTTTTCTAAATCAAGTTTTAATAACATTGAAGGATATTTGCCTTTCATTTTCGCAAGGTAATTTAATGATTCTTGAACTATTATAGCATTATCACAAGCTCTTTTGCCTTGTTGGAAACTAGTTTGTGTAGGACCTATAATTTTTCTAATGATTGGCTCAAGTCTATTAACTATTATCTTAGTAATAAGCTTGTATAAGTATTGCAAAGGCTAATAGGTCTAAATTGATGAATTTTTGTAGGATGCTATACCTTAGGGACAAGGCATAGAAGGGTTTTATTAAGTTCTGGAGGAATTATTTTTGAGCAGAAAATATCATGACAAAATGAACCAACTTTATCACCTACATCCGTCCAGAATTTTTGGTAGAAAAATGGGTGTAACCCATCTGGACCTGGTGCTTTGTAAGCCTTAAAACTGTTCAATGCAAATATAATCTCATCTTGATGGAGAGGTGAATCAAGACTAAGAATATCATTAGAAGAGATCTCGCAATTGTAAGTATTCATTATCAATTTTTCCGAAATTAATTGATCAGTTTGGAAAAGGTCATTGAAACAATTATTAATTAAACCATGTATTTCATTAGTGGTAGTTACCCAGTTGCCTACATTATCTTGTAAAGCATTAATTCTATTTCTACGTTTTCACAGGACATGAACCAAAATCACCACCTCTAGTTGGTTATAACACGTTATCTCAGGATTACAAGCCACCTCATGAATACTTGCCATGTAAGCATCTATTTACATCCTCAACCCAATCAAACTCAAACAACCCAGAAGGACCCCTTCATACTCTGTACACGTTGGATCCAACTCAAAACAAAACAATACCAGCCATGCATGCTACAGTAACATTGCTTACTTCTGATACTAAGTTTCCTCAAAATCCATGCAGATAGCATGATGAGTTTTCATGTGAATATCATCATGAGGAACCCACATGATGGGGTCCTCATCATAGAAATAGAATTAATGCTTTACAAGATAATGTAGGCAACTGGGTAACTACCACTAATGAAATACATAGTTTAATTAATAATTGTTTCAATGACCTTTTCCAAACTGATCAATTAATTTCAGAAAAATTGATAATGAATACTTACAATTGCGAGATCTCTTCTAATGATATTCTTAGTCTTGATTCACCTCTCCATCAAGATGAGATTATATCTGCATTGAACAGTTTTAAGGCTTACAAAGCACCAGGTCCAGATGGGTTACACCCATTTTTCTACCAAAAATTCTGGACGGATGTAGGTGATAAAGTTGGTTCATTTTGTCATGATATTTTCTGCTCAAAAATAATTCCTCCAGAACTTAATAAAACCCTTCTATGCCTTGTCCCTAAGGTAAAGCATCCTACAAAAAATTCATCAATTTAGACCTATTAGCCTTTGCAATACTATATACAAGCTTATTACTAAGATAATAGTTAATAGACTTAAGCCAATCATTAGAAAAATTATAGGTCCTACACAAACTAGTTTCCAACAAGGCAAAAGAGCTTGTGATAATGCTATAATAGTTCAAGAATCATTAAATTACCTTGCGAAAATGAAAGGCAAATATCCTTCAATGTTATTAAAACTTGATTTAGAAAAAGCATTTGACATGTTAGAATGGTCTTTTATAAGACGTGCTTTGTTTTACTTTAACATACCTCCCTCTATGATTTCCTTAATCATGTCTTGTGTTACAACAACTTCAATTTCTATATTAATTAATGGTTCAAAAACTCAGTACTTTACACCTACAAGAGGTATTCGTCAAGGAGATCCACTTTCACCCTACTTGTTTATTATGTGCATGGAATTATTTTCACGAAACATCTCCCTATCAGTTGACTATTTAAAATGGCAACCTATTCGACTGTCTAACAAAGGTCCACTTCTCTCTCACCTCTTCTTCGCAGATGATATTATACTTTTCTCTAAGATTACTGCTAAAAGCTGTCATGCAATCATTGATGTTTTGAATAATTTTTCCAAAGATTCCGGGCAAAAAATAAATTTTGAAAATCAAAACTCTTCTTCTCTAAAAATTGTAGTTCCTATGATAAAGATTTTGTTATTACTTCCTTCAACATTAAAGAAGGAACCTCTTTTGGTAAATACTTGAGATTTCCTATGTTCCAAACAAGACCCAAAAATGCAGATTTCCAGTTCCTCCTTGATAATTTCAAAAATAAACTAGCAGGATGGAAATCTAGGTTTCTGACATTGGCAGGAAGAGCCACTTTAATAAAATCTACTCTAAACCAGTTATCTAATCATGTCATGCAGTATATTCACATTCCGGCTCACATAGTTAATAAAATAGATCAATATCAACGTAATTTCTTATGGGGTACAACTTCAGAAAAAAAGAAACTAGACATTGTTAGATGGAATGAAATTACCAGACCAAAGGAAGCAGGAGGCTTAGGAATTCAAAAATTGCATCTAAAGAACCATGCTTTATTAGCAAGTCTAGCTTGGAGGATTTTTAAGACACCACAAACCATTGGGTATGCTTCATTTCATTAATCAAAAGTTACCCTACATAAACTCTTTTAACTGGGTACACGACCTCATAACTTGTAAGGATCTTCATTTTCCTTACCAAATGAATCCAGCTACATACTTGCCACTAAGCTTATGGAATATTTGGCTGGCACGTAATAACAATTGCTACAACATATTACGTCCACGGCTTTTACTAAATTAACAACTCAGCAAGCAACAGAATTTACATACCTAGTAGCTAATCAACATACTTGTGTTAAAAAAAGGCAACAAAAATCTGAAATGGAAACCTCCTAAAGAATTTTTCTATAAACTCAACACTGATGGAGCACATACAGCAAATAAAGCTGGTATTGGTGGTCTAATACGAAATTCAAAAGCTGAATGGATGTTGGGCTTTGCAGCAGCAGTCCCAAGGGATTCATCAACTTCAGCTGAATTACATGCTTTATTGCAGGGACTCCAGTTAGCTTACTCACATTACCTTGTTCCACTGGAGGTGGAAGTGGATTCACAAGACATTATAACACTACTCTATTCTAACAATGTCTCATTTGACAATTTGACTACTGACTGCAGGTACTTCCTGGACAGGTTAGGTAAGCCGGTAGTACTGCATGCGTACAGAGAGCAGAATAGGGTAGCAGATAAACTAGCAAAGGTAGGATGCAATTTTGACATTAACTCAGCGGTACGTATTTTGGAAGACAGCCCGGACTTTGCATGGTCAGTTTTTGAACAAGAAAGGAGTGCAGTGCAAGGACATGTTTTGGAACACTTCAGGCCTCACTCAGATAACTATAATGCTGTAAATGGGTATTGTAATAGTGATGCAGTTGATAGTAGTTTTAATAGTGGCTTGTATAATACTTTGGCACGCACTACTAATGCATTAGCATGTAATAGGATGCAGTATAGGCATCCGCCCTCTGTATGCAATACTTAATATTAATATATGTTTATCTTTAAAACCAAAAAAAAAGGTTCTTATGGTTAATCTACAATGTTGATATTTGCTGTAGTTTACAACTAAATCAAATACTTTTTGAATGTATGTATATATTCTGTAAGAAATGAGAAATACACGTGCAACGCACGTGCAGAGAGACTAGTAATCTAAAATGTAATAGCATAATAGGGGACAAACATATAAATTTAGCTTAATATAGCATATTGAAGCAAAATGATAAAATATATTTTATAAGTTAAATACTTGTTACTAGAATCCATAAAATATGAAAATTAACCCATTCTATTGTGTTTATCTTATCAAATAACTTTTGAAAAGCTAATCATCCAAAATATTCTTTGATAGTTCTGATCCTTCTTTTGTCTAGTTTTCCATTTTTTTCAAAGGTAATTATAGAGTCAATTTTCTAGGGTACGATAACTTTTATTCTTAACTAAGTTCCATTTTTAATATCAATAAACTTCATAATAGTATTATCATTATCATTTGGAGAATACTGATCCCTTTTTTTTTTTGGGGCTATCAAGAATGTTTGATGTTTATTTGTTGCAAGTGTTCTCTTTCTATTTGCCAAAAGTGGTATTTACTGTTTTGTATTGTATTTTTCTCCTTTTCCCTTTTTTTATTTTGTTTTGTGATTCATGACTAGTAATTCTGCTTCTTATGGAATTCTATATGCCTGCTAAATCTATAACTTTGAGGAAGTTTATATATCATGCCTTCTGAGTTTAGGAAGTTCTTCCCAAATAAAAGGAAAACAAAGAGAAAATTATCCTCTATATGCTGGAATTATCTATTGAGTGCAAGGCACATATGTAATGAGATTAAAAGAGTCAAAACGCTAAAGCACTAAAAAGACTGATTATTCGGCTAGTATATACATAAATAATAGTTAGCATCACTTATAAGGGAAGAAAAAAATAGCTACCGTCTCTCAAGAGAAATAAAATTCATCTTGTGCTTTTAGTAACTTGGGTGGTGAGACCCAATCCAGAAGCCTAGTTTTGACTGTATTCCAGTTAAACAACTCTCAATTAACTATACAGGAAGGTACTTCAACTAAGCCTGAACATCACATAAGGAGGATACTTGACTTGAAAAAAGAAATCTCAACATGAGGAACTTCAGAGAGAACAAAAGAGAAAAAGAACAGACATCAAAGCTGTACTACATGAAACTAACTGCTTCAGAACACAAAATAGATCTCAGATATCGACTATGAAGTTCTAGAACTGTCAGATAGGATGGACCACAAGATTTTAAACAGCATGTAACATATAAACAAGGATTACTGTGCTCTTGTTCAATTAGATTCAGCAGACCAAATGAGATAAAAGGAGAAGGAGTATTTGTCATAGCAAAATCATCAAGAGCAAAATAAGCTTTGGTTCTGCATGTCTCAAGTTCTATAAATGTCATATTTGCTGAATGCTAACAGAATTAAGATGGAGATAGAAGAAAAGGCTAAGGTGAGAAACTAAATTAGGATTAGTGCTTACCGTCAAGGCCTCCTCTGATCCAATTGCATCACCACCGTAGACAAACAGTTGGCCCCCACAACCATTCTGTGCATTGTTAGCAGACCAACGCAGAACAATAACAGGGAGTCTTCTTTCTCCTGCTGAGAGTTGCAGCTTGACATAACTAGATGAAGCTTCAGCCTCTGAACTTTTCTTCCCAGGAACTGATAAGTTCCACAACAAGATATCTCCATCAACATAACCAACAGCTAAAATTGACCCATCAGATGACAACCAACAGAGTGAGCTTATTTCCTTTTCCCCTTCTTGATTATCTGATGAAACATGAAACTTCTCTTCACTTGCATCTTTTAAAGCATGAACAACAATTTCATCCTTCACATGGAGCTGTTTATACTTTTTAACAAGAACAGTTCGATCTTCTGTAATGTCCCAGAGAATAATTAATCCATTCTCATAAGCAATTAGGACCCTGATGACACCAAAAAAAAAAACACTGCTGAGACCCTAAAAAGTATTTGAGTGTTGAAGGAAGATACGAAGAACACATATGTGATAAGAAGCAGAATAGTGTAGATGTTGAAGACAACTCTAACATGAAAAACCGAAAACCAGAAAATAAGGGAGAAATTTCGATGATCTCTTACCTATTTCCAAGTGAACTAGGTTGGGGAAGTAAACCAACGATGGCTAGTTGATCAGGCATTGAAATCTCAGCAGCTTCTGCAAAAGATGGTTATGGCAACATGAAGAGCATTTACAAAGATTTGTCTACAGAAATTGTATTCATCTGTATATTTGCTTTTGGGGGATAAAAACCACATTGCATGTTAAAAGAACTGGAAGTTCCAAAAGAGCAGGATACTGACTTAGTCCTACATGCCGAAAAAGGGAAGACATTCACGGAAATGCATTTCTTACTCGTATTGACCTTAAGAGTTTCTAATTACTCCCTCCTTCCCAATTTATGTGGTGCTCTTTCCTTTTTAGTCAGTCCCAAAAAGAATGTCATACTACCTTATTTCGGAACAATTTAATTTTAAACTTTCCACTTTACCCTTGATGAGATGATTTATAGCGACACAAATATATATGGCTTATTTTAGACGACAATCAAAAGTTTTCCTTTGTTTCTTAAACTCCGTGTGCAGTAAAACACCGTCACATAAATTAGGACGGAGAGAGTATCAGTTATCCTCCTACTCTTTTCCTCTAACATTCCAAAGATTCATGTTTCTCATGTAAATCACAAGTTCATTGATGCTGCATGCGCTGAAAAATCCTAAAAATATTAACCATCATTGAAAAAGCAATTGAGTTATTCAAAAGCATGTAGAAACTAAAAGAAATTTCCAAAAAACAGGCTGGTGTACTGTTTGGCTTACTTTGCCTTTAGAGTTAATGTAAATGTTCTTATACAAACCATCAATCTATGTGCCAAATTTAAGGCTTACTAGATGCTACATAAATCAATTATAGCAGATATTCTTAGTGATGGAACTGCATGTCAAACAAAACTTCACTGCTTGGCCTCTAGTTCAAATTTTTTAATGATATAGCAGTTTTGTGACTGCAAATGCAATCGAGCTTAGATAAGATTGTCAACTAGTTTAGATAATCATTTTCATATCAAATCTCTTGACTGCAAATTGATCAACTGTAAGCTTGCCCTAAAAACTATAAGCATAACAAGAGCAATAACCAGGGTCTCACTAATGCCAATCCGTGATACTATGAAAATCAAAACTAGAGACAAATCCAAGAACAAGAACGGGGTAGAAAAGAACATTTGGAACAAGAGATAAAATGACAGTGAAAATGCATTAGGAAAAGAAGAAAGACTTAGCATTAGGTTTTCCCTCAGTCAAAGAAGAAAGATTTAGCATTAGGTTTTCCCTCAGTCAAAATTAGTTAAAAGTTTCCATAATAGAAACTAGAATGGAAGACTAGAAGAAATGAAATAAGAAGAAACACAAGGGTTTCACAATTCATATCGTCTCAAGTTTCTCTGCAGAGAAAGATGCAACTAAGAGAACATTTAGTCACTAATTTCTGTTGAAGCCACGATCCTCTAACTATATGAAACCTACTGATAAAAAAATGGACCTTGGGCCTAACTCAACCCTAAAAGCTGGCTCATGAGGTGAGGATTGTCCAAGACTATTTAAAGAGACCTCCCATCCCTAAGGTGCCCCATGTGGGACTCTTAACACCTACTGTATACCAGATTTCTGAAAGCAATCCCATGACCAGCTATAAGATTCGGAGGAATGTGATAAGGTAACAGTTCCAAGCTCCCTTCTCTGCTCTCGTACTTCAGAACAGAGAGATAACCATATTCATCACCCACAAACCTGTGTACAGACATATCGCCTGTATCAAACACAAACTTAATTGTACGGTAAACAAAAATCCTTTGAAAAACAATATCTACCCATTTACATGTAATGAGTATCATAGATCATGGAGAATGCAGTAATATTGGACTCCCACTGTAAACTGCAAGACATTCTCCTGTTTTCTAGATCCCAAACCTGTCAACTTTAAAGGAAATTCGCTGTTACAGAGATGTGAATGCAGCAAATGGAAAATCTGGAAGAAATAAAGCAGTGATGAAGGAAGAGAAGAGAGTGGTGCAGATTCATGGCTGGCTAACAGTAATCCCATCTCCCGCAAAGACACATTAATGCGAGAGAAGAGTTTCCGGGTACCTGAATGAATAAGATTTTACCTTCTTAAACAAATAAATATGTATGTGTGTGTGTGAATTAACTTGCCTACCACTCTCACATCAAAAGCTTCTGTCAAAGTATGCACATTGCTATACATCTCCACCACTGAACTAAGAGATTCAAATAATGCCAGCTCTGAAACCAGTCTTTACTAGGTTAAATCGCATAGCAGTAAAATTACCTGAATTTCATTTCCATTTGAGATTCCCACTAAAAATCCTTGGTTTTGCAGGAACTGGAAAGAGGTAAGAGAAACATATACATATATCAGAAGAACACCAACATTTTGAAGTGGATGCTAACCATCACCACGTAGTAAAATATATAGCATCAAACATTTGGATGCATAGAGTCAAGCATCAGCTTGCCAAAACTATCATGAAATCAGAAATGAATTCATCAGTTGATAATGCAAAACATCAAAACCAAATAAACAAGTGATAAGCAAATCTGTGGAGAAACGGCCCTTGGAAAGAAAGAAGAAACAGAAAGGCAACCTAAATAAAATCAGTCATATATTTTGACTACAAAACTGAGAGCCTCAGAACCAAGAAGAATTGCCAAATGCTCGCAGTCTAAGTTCAGAAAAGCACATATATGCAGACACACACACTCAGAGAGAGACTTCCCGCAGCTCAGATTACAAACCTCCAAATTCTTGAATGGTAATGGCTTAGGAGACAAAAGAAGGCCCTCAACATTAGATCCACCAATCACTTTAATTCTTCCATCCCTGTAATTATGATGATTATTGAATTGTATACAAGAACTAGGACAGAGAAATGAGGATAAGACAGTTCTAGTTGATGGCAGTTCCTTCAAGCTACTGCATCCATGCTTGCTACACATGAATGCAGAAGCTGAAATGACATGTTTCTGAGATCGAGGAAGTTTCATGTATTTATATGATGGAGTATAAGTTCAGCTTCTTCGTACAGCTACGATAAAAAAATGCTATACACGTCACCTGAAAAATTATGACAATTGGTCCTAATATGTGTTTTACGTGGTGATGCTGCAGCCTTGAAAGAATTGTCAAATGATATTTGCTCGGATCCTTCACAATTTTGCCGCACCAGTGTTGGAACGATTTGGGTGTGAGTGTGGGATACATACCAGATTTGGTCTACCTAACTTGGGTGCTTTGGTTTGATTATTAACTTGGTTTAGTTTTGATCTATGCCATATATGCACACAAAGTACTAGAACACTTGGCTATTATATAAGATAACTTACTAATATAATAGTAAGTATTTACAAAGAAAGTAATTTTTACCACAAATACTTTTGGCTCTCTAGTTATTAAAGACAGTTATTTCTACCACAAATACTTTTTGCTTTCTAGTTATTAACAAAGCTCAAGAAGAATAAGTAGACAACGATAGATTCGAACAAAATTTCTAGCAAAAAATAACAGCTTTTCTCTGTTCAAACTCTCTCTCTCTCTCTCTCTCTCTCTCTATATATATATATATATATATATATATATATATATATATATATATATATATATATACTGTTTGAAAGTTCTCTCAAGGAACTTATTACTCCCCACAGATGAACTCCTCAAAATATTGAGCTACTTCCAAAGTTGAGAGGCTTCTGTACCTTGTTGTTAAAGGGGACAAATAATGCACTATATTATCTGCTACTTATCAGCCGTACCAAAAAAGGGTAATAAAAGGTTTTGTAGATTAAACAAAGCACCATCATAAGCATCTTCAAAGGCATATAAAAGAATATGCTTTTTACTCACAATGTTCCGATCGCCAAGAGTTGTTGAATAGGGTCAAATGCCAGAATGGACGCTGTAGATGGAATCCCATAGTGAACAGCAATTGTTGCTTCCAGGTCTGTCAATTTCTCATTTCCTTGGGATGCACTATGCTGAGAACATATGGTAAGAGAGTTTGAAAGCACAATACAATAAATCAGCAGATAGAGACAACTAGGTTTGAGTCATATGCTATGCAAGTATTGTTCATGCAAGCTGGAAGAGACTTTCTAAGTGCACTATCAAACTGTCCGTGATCATATGTTGCATTCATAGAAGGAAAATGAATGTATTGGAGCAATGAGCAATATATATCATCTCTTGCACTGGCAAAGCAGCAAAAGCTGAACTTAGAATTACCATCTCTTTCTCTCCGTGTTTTCTATCTTCAATGCAGTCTCTTCCTTGGCCTTTGGGAAGAGGCAAAGAAGAAAACATCATTCACGTAAGTTCTTTTTTGCTTCCACCATCCTAACTAGTTCACAGAATGCTTTTCAACTAAGAATGCATTCTAGTAGTGATGCACTTTCAAGTTTTGCACCTCTCAAGCACAAAAAAGAAGAGAGAAAAACAAAAGCACCCCGCTAAAGTTTTTCACAAAACTAGCGAAAGCGTTCTTCAAACTCATGTGAGAAGAATGTAAGATGAGAAGAACCTCACTCATTCCTCAATTCTGCAAGATTGCACATAGTGTTGAATAAAGGAAGAAGAATGAAATAAAAAGTAAATTACATTTTTGAAGCAAGAGCTTAGAAAAACTAATCACCAATCTTTATTTTCAGCCTATTGAGCCCTTTAAATAGGTATTATAATGAGTAAAAATGACGAGATTAAGGAAAATTAATCCTAATTAAAATAGAACAAGAATAAGGTTAACAAAATCCTATCCTAACTAAAATAGGATAAAGAATTCTAGTATGAATGTGGTACCAGCTAACAATCCTAGTTTGACTAGAACTATAAATATAATTCTACTTTAAAAAGAATCAAATTACTAGGAAAAAAGAAATAAGAAATCCTAGTTTTAAAAGAAAAGAAATCCTAATCTTGAATGTATTCTTGGACTTCTTGAGTTTCTTCGATTCTTGGCCTTCTTGATCTTGCATCAAGTAGGAAGGCCGACCACGACATAAATAGAGATTTACTCAGGAGAGAAGTAAGTTAACTTTCTTTGATCCCCCTTCATGAGCGGGGAAGAGATAGAAGATAGACTACATATAGTACCCGTGCTAGAATTGAGGATCTAATCCGATGGAGGAGCTCTTACATTGTGTTGCATTTTACTTGGTAGAACCCATGTCCCAGTCTATTGTATTTGTATTGGAGTGATGCAAGAAAAACAATTAGTTGAACCTAATATAGAGTTTACCCTTCACAATATCGCAAACCAAACTTCTAAGAATTTGGTATTGACTCAAGAAGAAAAGTGCTGAAATTTTAATCATACTTTTGCTTATTTCTGTCTAATCTTTTCTGCAGCCTGAAATCCAAGCCCATAGCCCCCGTTTTCACAGGACATGAAACAAGGCACAGATAATGTTACCTCATATTCCAAGTCTTCAGTTTAAAGACTGAAAAAGTTCGACAAAGACATAGTGACAAGTTCAAAGCATTTACAATCTTGATTGCCAAACACGGCATATTAATTCTTCTGTTTTATGTTTCATATGTTTCCTGCAATGTGAGCAGAGATCATTGTCCAATGAATTCTCTTAGATTTTATTTTTACAGCAAAAAGGAAGAGAAGGGCATGAATATAGGGTTTCTGGGAGCTGAATGAATGCAACTCTGGTCCTGCCTTTGCACTGAAAATCAGTTACACTGCAATCGGTGATGATTAATAATCGTTTTTGATCATGTGATAAAATTGCAAGTTTATATCTCTTATGAAGGAAATGTATCTTTTCCGTCTGAAACAACCAAAACTAGTAAGCACTTTACTTAAGGGAAGTAAATCAATAGGTTTTTCTATCATTCTAGTTCTTACCCTTATCCACAATTTTATGGAACTAAACATAACAGATATAAACTCGCGCCAAATACTCTTATGTCAATATTCATGCTAAGACATACCATCTAATATCATTCTTTAGGTGAGGTGTATATCTTTTCTTTTGCAGCAATAACTATTAAGTTATGCATAATTCTTCCATGCCTTTTAAAGTAAACAGATTTTCCTCTTTCTTTTTTTCTTTTCTTTTTTTAATTCCAGATTTCTGCAAGATTGACAGAATACATAAATGGTAATATAGAATCTATAAGAATCAAAGATCAAACATTAATTGAAAATGATGTAAGGAACGAATTCAGCAGAACTCATAATAGAATAAGAGCCGTTTGGCTTAGCTGATTTAGAGTAGCTGATAAGCATTTAGGGCTGAAAAATACTTTTTAAGTGCTGAAGCTGATTTAAAAAATAAGCACTTACTTACGTGTTTGGATAAAAGTGCTGAAATTAATGATATGCAGCTGAAGAACTGGGTATACGAAGAGTTTTGTTTTAAAAGAAGTATTTTAGGGATAGAATAGTAAATATTTGGTCAAACTTAAACTGTTTATAAGCTGAAATTTAATAAGTTGGGGGAGACCAACTTATGACTTTTGGCTTATTTTTGGCTTATAAGCACTTAACTTATAAGCAGTTTTAATTTTACCAAACGCGCTGATAAGCCAAAAAGTGCTTATAAGCCAGTTTGACCAGCTTATAAGCTTAGGCAAACACCCTCTAATTGTGTCATTGTAGCATTTACACCCCCACCCCCACCCCCCACCCCACCCCAAAAAAAAAGATCGGAAAAGTAAAGTAGGTGGTGATAAAATGAAAAAAAAAACAGAGTAATATGCAAAATACACAATAACAAAAGCAATTTACCGGTGGCGTAGGATTGAGCTTTTCAAAGATTTTGGCAAACATGTTGCCCTTGAAGCCACCGAGAGCTAGTTTTCGTCTAACCGGAGCTTTTGTTCGATTTACCGAGCTAGTTTTGTTCAAATTTTCGCTCTATTTTGTCGATTGTTGTGCTCTTATTTGGGAGTAAATGGTGATCTTTCAACTTTAGCGGTCTTTTGGCGTGGCAGTTGGAATTTGGGAATGAGGATTTGGCAAGCAAGCTAAAGTGAATATTGCAATTACTTTATTATCAACAAAATAAATTTGGTTGAAAAAATAGCATGTTATTGTGGCTAAGTCATTTTTCTCATATTCATATTTATATATAAATAGAGGAGTTTTATTTTATTATAATTTATCCCAAAATCAATAAGAATTCTCTCTTTTCTCTATAATTTTTTCTTATTTTATTTCACGTTATTAATACAAGATTCTATCGTCTCAAAAAGCTCTTTGAGTATAATTTTTCTCCTCTTTTAACTATAACTGATATTATGAAATAAAAATTAGTTGCCCTTGAAATTTCGGACAAGAACTATATGTCATGTGTGTTGGATGCTGAAATCCATTTAGATGTAATGGGTCTAGGAGACGCTATTAAAATAAAAATAAAGCATCTACCCAAGACTGTGCTAAGGCTTGCGGCATCACCTTGATGAAAGGTTAAAAATAGAGTATCTCACAGTCAAAGATCCACTTGTTTTGTGGAATGGTTTAAAGGAAAGATATGACAACCTAAAGTTGGTCACGCTTCCATAAGGACAATATGATTGGGCTCATCTGAGGTTCCAAAACTTTAAGTCTGTTTCTGAATACAATTACGCAATATTCAGAATTACTTCTCGAATGAAGTTTTGTGGAGATAATATCATTGACTATGATATATTTGCAAAAACGTTCACAACGTTTTATACCTCCAATATGGCGCTGCAATAGCCGTATCGAGAGAAAGGTTTCAAGAAGTACTCTGAGTTGATTTCTCTTCTTCTTGTGGCTGAACAAAACAATGAGTTGCTCATGAGAAATCACGAGAATCAACCCACTAGGTCTACACCATTGCCGAAGTGAACGAGGTGTATACCCATTATGCTAAAGTGTGAAAAAGGTCGTGGCCCTATTCGTGGTCGTAGCTGTGGCCAAGGAAGATATTTTTCTAGTGTTAATCATCCCAAAGAAAAATAACCACCAAAATGGAAAGAGAAAGATGAGAAGCCAAAAAGAAAGAGTTCAGAAATTAGATGCTATCGTTGTGGTGGAAAAAGGTATTGGGCAAATATTTATCGTACACCAAGACATTTGGTTGAGCTTCAAGCATCTCTAAAGAATAAAGGCCCTAAAGCTAATTTTGTCTCTCACAGTGAATTTGACATTGCCCACTTAGATGTGACATACTTCTTTGAGCACCCTGATGGAAAATATGGATCAGTAATTAAAGATGATTAAGTAGTTTGGTTTTTACTTTTGCCTATTCGTAATAGCTAGTGAATAAACATCATGTAATCACAGTGCTTTACATGAGTAGTAGTCATTAGTATTATTTATTTTATGAAATAGTGTTAGTTCGTTTTGATTAAATATACTAGTATTCGTTTTTTAAACAATGTTTCAGTGTGCTTAGTTTTCAAGGATTGACATATACTTTATTAAAATAACGTTGTGATGTGAAAAGAATATTTAGTTACTGATATTGGACAGAAAGGGTACAAATGCATGTCTTTAAATTGACCATATTAGTCTTTAAATGCTTGTCTAATAGGACTCATTATGAAGCGTTATTTTAGTATGTGGATCCTTTAAAGTGAAAATAATTTTGATGTATTATATCCTGATATGACAACACTTTCAAGCACTTGCATGTCAAACTAAAATTTTGGTATTTGTTTTCTAATTAGATTGTTCAATCAAATAAAATGTCTTATGAAAAGTTTAAAGTAGTGATTACCGGCACATTAATTGAATAAGTCATTGAGTATATTTTTAAAGGATCCAATTACTATGTATTTCCTTGCTGTGCAAGACAATTAAGGCATTCACTTATAAAAATATTTCTTTAATTGATTCATGTACGACACATACAATATTCAAATAGAAGAAATATTTTTCTCATTTAAGTATATGTAAGGCAGATGCTACTACAATTTCTAGTAGCAGTAATTTAATTGAAGGTTTTGGAGAGCTACTATAACTCTGCCTAGGGGAACAATACTTATCATAGATAATGCAATATTCACCTCCAAGACCGGGAAGAACTTATTGAGTTTTAAAGATATCTGCCGAAATGGATATCATATTAAGACAATATATGAGAATAATCTTGAACATCTCATCGTTACAAAGAATGTCTTTGGCTAGAAAATGGTTATTAAGAAGTTCCTATCTTTGTCTTGTGGCCTGTATTTGCAAGAATTAGTGCAATTGAGGCACATTGTATCGTAAACCAAAAAGTTACTGATGCCAATACTTTTGTACTTTGGCATGATTGATTGGGACATCCTGGATTAATTATAATAAGACGAATTATAGAAAACTCAAATGGGCATCCGTTAAAGAATTTAAAAATTCTCTTAAATAATAAATTGCATTTCTTGCTATCAAGGCAAGTTAATTATTAGACCATCACAAACAAAGGTTGGTATTGAATCCCCTGCGTTTTTGAAATGCATACAAAAGAATTTTTGTGGACCTATTCACCCACCTAGTGGGTCATTTAGATAATTTATGGTGCTAATAGATGCATCTTCCAGATGGTCTAGATAATTTATGGTGTTAATAGATGTATCTTCTAGATGGTCTCATATGTGCCTATTATCATCTCGCAACCTGTCGTTTGTAAAATTAATGGCACAAATAATTTGATTACGGGCGCAGTTCCCCAATAATCCAATTAAGTCTATTCGACTTGATAATGCTGCTAAATTTTCATCCCAAATATTTAATGATTATTTCTTATCAATTGTGATAAAAGTGAAATAATTTATAGCTCATGTTCACACTCAAAATGGCCTTGCATAGTTGTAACGACCCGACCGGTCGTTTTGAGTGTTGTAGCTTCGTTCCCCCATTCACTGCTTATTCTATGTTCAATTTTTGATATGTGACTTGTCGGGGTAGTTGGCTTGGTTCCAGGGATGTTTCGGAATGAGTTGAGACACTTAGTCTCAAGGTTAGAAACTTAAGTTGAAAAGGTTGACCGGATGTTGAACTATGTGTAAGTGGATCCGGAATGGAGTTTTGATGGTTCCGATAGCGCCGTTGGGTGCTTTTGGACTTAGAAGTGTTTCCGGATAGTGACTTGGAGGTCCGTAGTTGATTTGGCTTGAAATGGAGAAAGTTGGAAAATTAGAAGTTTTGGAAATTGAGAAGTTTGACCGAGAGATGACTTTGTGGTTGCCGAACTCGGATTTTGGTTCCGAAAGTTGGAATAGGTCCGTTGTATTATTTATGACTTTTGTGCAAAATTTGAGGTCAACCGGACTTGATTTGATAGGTTTCGGCATCGAATGTAGAAGTTAGGAGTTCATAAATTCATTAGGCTTGAATTGGGGTGTGATTCGTATTGTTGATGTTGTCTGATGTGATTTGAGGCCTCGACTAAGTTCGTATGATATTTTAGGACTTGTTCGTATATTTGGTTGGCGTCCCGGGGGCCTCGGGTGGATTTCGGATGGTTAATGGAGTGAAATGGGACATTGGAAGATTGCTGAAGCCTGCTGAAGTTTTCTGGTGTACAAGTCTGGTTTTCTTATATGTGATCGCGTAAGAAGGTCCGCGATCGCATTGTCTTATTTTTAGCAGCTGAGGTTTTATTCTCTGTGATCACGAGTTTTGGTCTGAGAACACATAAGCTGGAGGAAGCAGTGAATCGCAAACACATGGGCCCAGCCGCATTTGCGGAGAGGAAATGAGGCAGGAGTTGGTCACGTGCGTTGTTCTATGCGAACGTGTGGGTCTATCCGCGATCGCGTAGGTATGGGAAGCATATACATTGCGTTCGCGTAGAGTTAAGTTCTGGGACAGTTGAGTTTGTGCTTCGCGATCGCGAAACATTTCCTATGATAGCAAAGAATGGACATCTAGGCAGAATTAAAGTCTCAAAAACGAGGGTTTGAGTTTATTTCACAATTTGATTTTAGGGGCTCGGATTGAGGCGATTCTTGGAGAGATTCTCAAGGGAGTGATCGGGGAAAGTGATTCTTACTTGGTTTTGGTTAAATTACATGAATATATCTTTGATTTCATCATTTAATTAGTGATTTGGGTTGAAAAAATTTGAAAAAAATGGAATAAACTTCTTAGGCTGGTTTTGGGGATTTGAGCGAGTTTTGGTATCAGATTTGAATAATTTCGGTATGGTTGGACTCGTGGTTGAATGGGTGTTCAAATTTTGTAACTTTCACCGAACTCCGAGACATGGGCTCGGGGGTTGACTTTTGAGTTGACTTTTTTACTTTTGATTACGAACTTAGCATTTTCATATAGAATTGATTCCTATAGCTTGAGTTGATTGTATAGAATTTTTTGTAGCTAGATTCGAGGCATTCGGAGGCCAATTCAAGAGGCAAGGCTTGTTGGAGTAGAGATTTGCACGATTTGAGGTAAGTAACACTTCTAAACTTGGTTCTGCGGGTATGAATCCCTGAAATTACGTGCTATGTGATTGGTGTTGAGGTGATGCGCATGTTAGGTGACGGGCGTGTGGGCGTGCACCGTAGTAATTTTGATTCAGTCAATTTCGTGCAACTGTGTAGCTATCTTATTTGAATATTATTATTGTACCATATGTGTTAGAGCACTTGCGCTGTGATTTATATTAGAAATCATGTTTAGGCTATGTGCTGGTGCTATTGGGACCCACAATGATCGTTCTTTGCTGTTGAGTTATTTTCTTAATTGCAGTTATGTGCTCAGTCGCATTCATCATTGCATATCATATCTTAGTCTCTGTTATCATACATTGTCACATCATGTATCATTGATTTGGGCTGCTTAGCATGAGTGTTGTGAGCCCGAGAGACTGGAGAGATTGATGAGTGAGTGAGGCAGAGGGCCTGTTTGTGAGTGATATTTATGGGATCGGGCTGCACTTCGCAGCAGGCTTTATTGATTCATGCCATGATTGGCTTATTATAGCTCTTGGGCTGGATCAGCCTTTCTGGAGTCTGCACACCCACAGTGAGTGCAATTGCTATTGATTTACGATGGGATTGAGCTACGCGCCGCAGCAGGATTATTAGCGTTTGGGCTAGATCTGCCTTGTACAGTGCTGAGTGATTGAG